ATTGCCAGTGAAACCGAAGACCCAATATTATTATATACCTCTGAACTCTTTTAGAATATTTTGCTGAGTTTACACACCTATAATATTTAAATGATGGAACTTAACAAAAAAAGGGGATACAGATGAATGTCCATTTTGTATCTGTGTATTCAAAGTGGTTAGTATGGATATATAGTTACATTCTCTTAATGAATAGAGGGATTTCTTCTAATGGTGTTTGTAAATAGGATATCAAGTCCACAGCTTGTACAGTAATTAACCACTAGGAAGACAGTATGCAATGTGTTAGTTATTGAAACTGTCTTACCAATTTGATTTGAAACTGTCTCATTGCTATTTGTTTCTCAATAAAATTATGAAAAAAATAAGACATTACATACTGTTAAAAAAAAAAGAAGAAGTAAAGCCATGGTGTTATGTTGAACTGTAGGGAACTAGGTCAACAACTTCTGACATTGCCAGTGAAGTGGAAGACCCTATACTATTATGGATTACCAGATTATTTTGGAATATTTTGCTGAGTTCATATACCTACAATATTTAAATGATGGAACTAAACAAAAAAGGGGATATAGATGAATGAACATTTGTATCTGTGTATTCAAAATGGTTGGCATAGATATAAAGCTACATTCTCTAAATTCAAGGAATAGAGGGATTTGTTCTAATAGTGTTTGTAAATAGGATATGTCTGCATCTTTTTCAACAAATAACCACTAGGAAGGCAGTATACAATGTGTTAATTATTGGAACTATCCTACCAATTCGATTTGAAGCTGTTTCATTGCTACTTATTTCTCAATAAAATTATGGAAAAAAATAAAACAATGCACTGACCATATGAGAAGGTACATACATTAAGGACACTAGGTAGGAAGCTAATGTAGTAACATGGCAAAAAAGCCAGAACAAAAATCAATGGTAAAAGGCAAAGAGAATGAGCAGTGCTTGAATTATTTAGCAGGCAGAAGTGAGAACTTCATGACTTATTATTTGGGAGGGTGTAAAAGAAAGTTCATGGTGACAACCAGACTTTTGCATAGGCCTATGTTAAATAACTCAATTGTGTCCATTTTCTTCTGATTCTACTTCTACAAAAGGTCTCTAACTTCCTGTTTCCTAGACTATTCTCCATCCATTCCTTTCCATTTTGGCAGTGCTTATGTGCTTCTCTCCATTTAGTTGTTGAAGTGAACCATGGGAGTCATCTTCCTTAACAGCTTCTCATCTGACCTCTACCCTATCCAGTCTAGTGAAGGCCCTGGATAGTACCTGTTACGTAACTCAATTGTGTCCATTTTCTTCTGCCTCTACTTCTACTAAAGGTCTCTAAACTTAGCTGTTTCCTAGTCTGTGTTAACTTTCTTTCTCCCCTTCAGTCTATTTCTCTCCCACATTTCAACAATCCATTCACAACAATGAAGAATATTCTTTCAAAAAAGCATGCCTATGTCAGTTTACCTTACAACTTTTGTATTTCATTGCTCCTAAGGTCTTGTAATGTTCTGAGTTTACTTTAAATACATGTCGATCTCTGTGCCTACAGAGCCTGCACATGTGGCTTTAATCTACTGTAGACTGAAAATATTTGAGAAAGAAACTATACTGAACTTGAATATATACAGACTTTTCTCTTGTCATTATTCCCTAAGCAATACAGTATAAAACTATTGATGTAGAACTTAACTACATTAGGCATTAGTAATGTATCAGTAATGTGTGTGTGTTGTGAGTTCTATGTCATTTTAAATGAGTGACTTGAATTTTGTGGTATCCTTAGTATCCATGATATACTTCGGATTCTCAGTATGAGGAATATAATTCGTAAGACATGTACATCTTTTAATTCCACATAGTGAGGTCATGTGGCAGTTATCTTTCTGTACCTGGTTTATTTTACTGAACATAGTATCTCAACTTGCCTTTCTTTCATTATCATATTTGGAATTAATTCCCAAAATATCCCAAATATTAGCATGAGGAAATTCATTTTGGAGAACACTCTTCACATTTTCCACAGTGAGTATATTTTGATTCTTCACTTTTTGGTACATCTGTGGAAACAAAGAGAATATAATTTTTCAAAGGGTATACAGATGAATGTCCACTTTTGACAGAACTTGAAAGAAGAAATGAAACAGAAAATTCCTATGGTGGTCAATGATTATGATAATTTTATGGGCAGTACTGACAAGTTGATCCACATCTAACAACCTATCCTGCAGTCAAAAAGCAAGGAAAAGTATTATAAAATATTTATGCACCTTCTGGACCAAACATTATGGCACTCATTTGTTATTTACTAAAAATAAAGGGGTGCAAAAAGTCATTTATAATTTGTACTAGGTTTAATAGATCAAATAATTAAAAAATACAAGATAGTGAAATATTAACCAGCATGTCCATCACTGATATCTTTATCATTACTTTTAATGGGTGGATGCTTTACTGAAACTGTGGCACCCACAGAAAATACAACAGGTCAATAAAAGTGTAAAGTGTGCTGTTCAAAGAAAGACAGTAATACAAAAACAATTTGGAGAGTAACATACTACTGTCTAGATTGTAATGTTATATTGTGTATGCAATGTTTTAAGATATACCATACACAGAAAAATTACTGAATAAATTGGATAAAATTGTCATTTTTATGTTTCCTGCTATACTATAAAAATCAACAAAATTCAATTTTTGGTCATTTTGAATTTAAATAATTGGACTGGTAAGTGGTTAAAAGATACATGTATGTGTAGACCCAGTCCTAGCCCAGGTCCGGTGAGTGTGCGGAGAGTTTCCTGCT